GCATTTCTACAGTGACGAGTAAAGAGAAATGGGAGTTGACCTGATGACATTTCTCTTCTTCTACTTTCTGCCTTTGCATAAGGCTGTAGCAATGCTGTGATTGGCCAATCCCAGTGAAGACGAGCCGAGGCTGGCCCTCTCCAGACAGTGTTTCTTGAAGAAGAAATGTTTGGAGGCAGGAGAAGATACAAAGCATTCAGTGTAACCGTTTCAGAAACAGGCAGATTTATAAAAATTGGTAGCCAAGGAGATGCATTCCATGGCTATTGATACAAAACTTTTGAGTGTCAAGAAGAATACAAGATGCAATAGCAGATTTACAAGAGAATAGTTCATAATACTTGCACTATGAGAACATGTAAAGTGTACTATTTTAATAAGTAGTTACATTGTGTCTGCTTTGTGAGATTAACATTTCTCCTAAATATGTTTGACAAGTAGCCATCAACTTCTCCACATTCAACACCACAGTTACAGCCATTCGAATTTCCAAATACTCATGGTGAATCTCTTAGAGAGATCAGGGTAGAAGTTCCACATCTGATTGATTATGACCAGGACAATGAGAAGCATTGTTTTGAGCCTCTGGTGTTGTTCCCAATGCCCTTCTGAGCTGTGCTCATGTACTGGCCCATATGGTCCTGTAGCTGGGTGGATATGACGCCTGATAGAACTTTCCATGTTGTGGGGAGGCAGGTAATTGGCCAGTAGTTAGATGGTGCTGTTCACTTCTGGGGGTCCTTCATGGTCAGCAATGCCCTTCCTTGTGTTAGCCAGTCTGGGTGGGAGCCTGTTGCTAGCAGCTGGTTCATCTGTGCTGCTAGGCGTTCATGTACTGCTGTTAGTTTCTTTAGCCAGTAAGTGTGGATCATGTCTGGGCAGGTGCTGTCCATGTCTTCATGTTCTTGACTTGCTGTTGGATGTCTGCTACTGTGATGGTGATTGGTTTGTGTTCTGGGAGATTGCTGTGGTCTGCTCTCAGGCCCTGAAGCCACTTTGCACTGGTGTTATGTGTCTTCTCTTTCTCCTATATGTTCTTCCAGTACTGATCAGTTTCTGCTGTTGGTGACTCTGCTGTTAC